ATAGACATATACCATCGCAAACTTTTTTTGTAGACCTTTTTAAGGTATACAAAACTGTAGTGCATTATTTTGATCTATCTCGTAGGGTTCAGCCAGCGTTTGCAATGTAAGCGCAAAAAAATGTGTTTATTTACGACCTTACATTAAAAATATCTAAAATTATCAGTGTTTCTCTACGATATTATGCAGGTATTATACATATAAACCGTACTCTTGAATCATTCTATCTATTAAAAAAAACCGCATCAAAATCCGTTGCGTAGTTTTAAAGGTCTAAGCATACATAGGGACATAAGGACAGACAGCGGGAAGCGACTTTGCTTTATACTATGTAGTGATGAAACACACCAATCACTCACTGTTAATAGATTACATACAATATGCTTAACTTTATATTGTGTTATAAGCATTTAAGTTTATGCATATGATTTATTTAGCAAAATACGTAATACTTAGGCTGAAGATGACATAACTTTTTATGTAAGTTAGTATGTTATTACAAATTTTCTTAAGCCAGTACAAGTTTATCATGAAATCCAATAACTGTCAAATACCGCACCATTCGATTGTATTAAAATGGATGCTGTGGGCCAAATTTCAGGTAGCACAGGTGCGCAAAAAATTTACTCACAGTCGGAGACTTGATTTTAATCCATGACATTTAGGAGGCTAATGACCCACCACGCGGGCCAATTGCGTGCATTGGTGCTAACAACTGCAGATCAGGAATGTTACGGAGCTTCGACTCCGATTCCGATAAGGCGGAACTTCCGATTATTATTACGCCTTCGTACGAAACTTTTAAACCGGAGGTTTTATTCGAAGCATAGCAAATAGCGACGGTGGCCTGCGTCGACGGTTACGAACTGGTTCATACCCGTTAATCAATTAAAATGAAAAAAGGGTAATTGAATGATATTTTTATTTGTTCTTAAATGAAAAATATCTCTCTTGTGACCACTGCTGCCTCTGCCACTGATCCCGACTCTGCCTCCGACTCCGGTTCCGACTACGATAAATCAAAAAACTCCGACTCCGACTTCGGTTCCGATAAATTTACCTCTGTTACATCCCTGCTGCAGATGCATGCTTTCTGAAGCACGGAGTAGCTCGAGATAGCAAAATTTTTGGTCACCCATCCAAAGACCGACCACTGCGAAAGTTGCTTAACTTCAATGATCGCAGCCGAACACGCTAACCACTTGCGCTATCGAGCTCCTCAAACTCCTTCTCAACTCTATAATTAGAATAGATAATTATAGTACCACAGATGGCGAGAACTATTACCTCTCATCTTACTGTGTCATCTTTGCGGAACAGCTCTCGAATCGGCAAGAATGATCAACTTTAAATAATACCACGCTAATTAATACATTTTGTAACCGGAGTAATTAATTTTATCGTACCACATTGTTTAATCGGTCGCTTCCTAATTTACAATGGCTTCGAGGAAATTGCAAAATGCGAATCACTTTTGGGAACTTACAATCAGATGTGCTAGCTGATGTCATAAGAAGCAGATTCATCTCAGTTGCATAGCTTTTGAAATATCCTCATGAATCTTCCTATCTATATATATAAAACTGAAAGGTGACTGACTGACATAGTGATCTATCAACGCACAGCCCAAACCACTGGACGGATCGGGCTGAAATTTGGCATGCAGGTAGCTGTTATGACGTAGGCATCCGCTAAGAAAGGATTTGTATCAATTCTACCCCCAAGGGGATAAAATAGGGAATGAAAGTTTGTATGAAACTTTGTCAATTTTAAACCGATCGGGCTGAGACTTTGCATGCAGGTATAAGAAGAATCATAGATGAATGCCATTGTGTATAATACAAGCCTAAGAACAAAAACTGTAGTCTACACTTTAGCTCTACACCGAAGCGAAGCGAGGGCGGTCCGCTAGTCTTAAATAAATGTATCACTGAAACGCGCATAACTTCCGAACGACTGAATCAAATTTGATATTTTTTTGTGTTCGTTATTAGAAGGACAAGGCTTGTATAAAAGAAATTAAAAAAATATTAGTGTGCACATACCACACATCTGAAGTGAAACCTCTTTTCTTAATAACCTAATATTAGGCGGTGCGTAAGGTATAAGGGAATGGAGCAGAGCACGCATCACTCATATAGGTATACGTATAAGTATACAGGGTGGTCCAACTAGTGAGTGACGTCAACAATTTTTTTTAGATTCCTCGCACCTGGGGCTATCCGAAAATGCCCCATGTATGCTCCGCGATTTTTCTTAGTTTTCGAGTTATATTTTTTTCGTGTATTTTTAATGATTTCTGCTAGCGAGGTTTCAAAAATTCTTATCTTTTTTCGTAGTAGGTATTTTGAAGTCTTTTTTTTGTGACATAATTGCCTTGAATGTTGTTTTAATAAAAAATAACTCAACTTTCTGCAATTACTTAAAGTTACTCAAAAAAGGCTTGAAAGTTGGATCTTCAGTTTTTAGTAGGATTTACTCAAACGTTCAACTTCAATACAAAAATACAAAAAGGATATTTCATAGCTTCTGGCTAAAATTTAAAACTCCGCATGCTTCTAAACAACCAAAAATCATAAAAAAATGTACTTAATCAGCCTATTTTTGTTGTAATTGGCTTTTGAAGGCGGATAGGCTAAAAATCATTGAAACACGATTAAAGCGTTAGACATTATTTTATCTACTTATAACTTCAACGATCGCAGTCGAACGCGCTAACTATAAAAATGTAAATAAAATAATAAATAAATAAATATTTCTGACACTCACACCAATTAGCCTAGCCCCAAAGTAAGGCTTGTGTTATGGGATGCTAGGGTAACGGATAGAATATATATACAGTACATATATAAGTATATTTATATAGAAATACATATTAAACATCCATGACTGGAGTATAAATGCTCGTATTCATCACACAAACATCTGCCCCCACCGGGATTCGAACCCGGGACCTCTCGAGTCGGCGACACCATGAAACCCGGCGTACAAACCACACGACCACGGAGGTCGTCAATGTAACTATTGCCAACTGACGATACAGTCTTGATCGCGAGTTATACCAGAAAGTTTTAGCAAGTAAGTTTATCGGCTATCAACAACAGTCTAAAAGCTAACTAGGTATATCGCAGTTACCTATCTTTAGGAATAACGGGCGATTACTTTCCAATAAACGACATTCGTAGCGTATAATAAACTTCACAAACTTAAGGCTGGATACTGTGGAAAGTTATAGATCCTGTGCCTTAAGAATTTCTGCATAGGGTTGGCAGAAAGACTTATCGACACTGTACTTACAAGGACCAATCAACATCAAGCTTTTAAGAGAGGTAGAAGCGACATCGATGACATCAATAGACTGATTATGGTAAAAATATGCATGGAATTCCATCAAACATAATAAATTCCTTAGTTTAATGATGGGTTAGCGATATGAGTGTGGTAAGGATAAGCCATAAAATTGGCTTAACGTCAAATATTAGTCTGAGTCTAGAGCTGGGGAGGTAACCTAAATGTTACAGAAGACACGAAATAACATTACCTTTCGGTGATATTGTGTTTTTGTCGATGAGAAGGGGTTCCAGGATTCCACGGAGTAGGGTATCAGGCCAGGGGCAATGGCGCTTTTGATATTAGTGAGATAAATAGGAGATATATATAGACCATAAAGATAAAAAGGTATGTTAGGTTATCCTGTATTCCATCATCAGTCTCTTAATGTCCCCGCTGCTGGGGCACAGGCTTTCCCTATGGATGGAATAGGGAGATTAGGCCATGACCCACCACGCGGGCCCAATGCGGGTTGGTGGGTGCTAACGACTGCAGATGCAGCCGAGACCAACGGTTTAACATGCCTTCCGAAGCACGGAGGAGGAGCTAGTAAATTTTTGGTCACCCATCTAACGAACGACCACTGCGAAAGTTGCTTAATTTCAACGATTGTAGCCGAACTCGCAAACCACCCACGCCATTGAGCTCCTCAGGTTATCCTGTATTATATTATCTTAATATATATAAATCTCGTGTCACAATGTTTGTCCTCAATGGACTCCTAAACCACTGAACCGATTATAATAAAATTCGCACACCATGTGCAGTTCGATCCAACTTGAGAGATAGGATAGTTTAAATCTCAAATTATAGTCGCAATTTTAATTTATTGCAAATTATTACTTTTGGGCGGCACGAAGTTCGCCGAGTCAGCTAGTAATAGTATAAATATTTCCCAATCGCCAGCCCTAATGACGGCGAATTTTATCGATACCTCGAGCGATTTCTACAATGTCACCATTTACCGTCTGTGGTCGGTAAATGTTCTGCATCGATGGAACTGGGGCGCGTTCACTGGAGATGGGCTCTGTTCTCTTTCGATTTCTCATTGGCGACCGAACCAGTGGGCCGGCAAACTAATATCTTCACGTTTAGCCAATTCTATGGATTACCATTACCACACTCATTTGGATTATTCGCTAACCCATCAGTAAACTAAGGAATTTATTATGTTTGATGGAATTCTATGCATAATTTTACCACAATCAGCCTATTGATGTCCTCGATGTCGGGACACACTAGGCATAGTTTTCTGCAGCCTCCTTTCGGGTAAACCCTTAAAAGGAATGAAGTTAATTACACTTTTGGCGTTATTGTAAAATATTCATAAAATAATCCCAGAAGGATTTATATGTAAGAAAACCTTAAAAAAATTGATCTCGAATTTTTTCTTGTCGGCTTTTTATACCGTTTTATGGCTAGATTTACCCTTAGCACGAACCAATATCGAATTCGTAACGTTTGCGAGTCCGAAATGTCATTGTCAAATGTGTGGGTACTGATTTTTAGTTCTCGTTACGTACTTATTGCCGCTGCTGTTCAATTTTCCATACAAAATTTGACATTGACATTTCAGTTTGCAAACTATTCGAATTCGATAATGGTTCGTGCTAGGGGTACTGTTATTGATTATTTATAACGTATTTCATTTAATTTTTCTTTTGTTACAGTGAACTAACACTACTGGAAGGCATGGCCAAATGCGGCGGGTGGAATGAGGAGCCCGTCTCAAAAGTGAGTAATTTAGTTCATTATATTTAACTATGCATTTAACTGCTTCGAAGACGAAATGAGACAAAAAGCATATTTTATCAAGTGTCTGGCAAATAAATACTGCTGACATAATGTGTCTGGCAGTATTAATTTCAAATTATTTACAATATTCTTTATAGCATACATACGAATGAGTCCTCAGACTGTTAGTAAAGTGAGTAAAATTTTTACGTGCCTGTGCCACTTTGATACCTGAAAATTGCTACCGTCCTCAAACTTAAGTGCGGCTGAGTGACATGTGGTCGATTTTCAGTCTTAATTGCATCTTATACGGTTTTTAATTCTCTACTAGCGCCGCCCGCGACTATGTACGCGTGGAGTTAGAAATAAAGGTTCACAGCTCGTTCCCCGTAGGTGATAGCGTGATAATATGTAGCCTATATGTCGACCCGACTTCTTAATAATATTCGTGCCAAATTTGAAGTAAATACTTTTTGAGTTTATCCCATACAGATAGACAAACACACAAAAATTCTAAAAACTATACTTTTGGCTTCGCTATCGATTGTAGAGCACACCCAACCACCCAAGTATTCTTTTAAAAAAATACTCAATGTTCAGTTTTGACTTTCCGACCATTTTATTATGTGTATAGATGGACCTGTCTTTAACAAGTAATCGTGCCTTTTATAGTTTAAATCTAAAAATCTGTCATGTGATGAATGGTTACAAAATAGCAATAATTTAAAGTTTACGCGCCGTTTTTTGGCCATATCTCCATTGGTTTTGTAATTTTGCCGCGTTTTAGCTTGAGGACGGCAGATTGACCCACAGTACAAGAGTACAAGTTAGCGAGTATGTGTAAGTTAATTTTACACACTAATACTAGGTACTTGATTATCTACTATGTTGTCCATCACATAAGAAATAAGGTCGGGCATCCCTAGAATCTTGTATTATAAGCTCGTGTTGTCGTGTCTCACTTTTTTGTGATACTAAGGTGTATGTTTATTTGAAATAGGTAATTCAAGTTTGAACCAAAATAAAATATGTCTTGACTGCCAGGAAACTGAATCACGTTATTAGGTATTGTAACGTCCGTTGCGTTACAGCCTCCTTGTTTGGGTAAACTCTTTGTTCATGTAATGCCTACGGCTGGCAGTTATATTAAAAAGGTAATGTCATGATTTTAAAAGATTTGAAATTTGGAATCTTCTGTCGTTTGATAGAAGATTCCAGAAGATAGAAATCAGGCACCACAACATGCGGTTACATGTTAAGCTATAATTATTATATTCGCCTTGATTTCAAATAATATAACATATAAAATTTAATTAGTTTTCATTTATAAAGCTACGCTCCCAGGGTCTATCCCATCAGGATAGATCGCCGCAGTACCTCATATATAATGTGCTCCATATCAAGGTTAAGGACTCTGCAGGGACATCATTGACGAATGATATTTGGCTATATTCTTTGAAATTAAAAGCAGATCAGAGACTTAATTTAATAATGATAAATAATGATGAATGTGTATATTTCTAACTCTCACACAAATCTCTCTCTAGCCAAAAGTAAGCCTTGTGTTATGTGATATTAGGGTAACGGATAAAATTCATTTACACCGCACATAAATATATATAAATAAATACCTAAACATCCATGACGAAGGTACAAATGCTCGTATTCATCACAAAAATCTGCTCCACCGGGATTCGAACCCGGAACCTCTGAGTAAGCGACATCTTGAAACCTGTTTCAAGGTGTCGCCCCTGGCACGGTAATGTTATCTATACAGTATTGTGACTCGGCCCTGTCCTTGAAATAACTGCCTACGGCCGAACGGGTCGTATCCACGCGGTGGAGCTGCGCGCCTACGGTATTTTAATTTCATCTACATAATTGAGTTTCTTTCTAGTTTTGTGATTTTAAATATTTTATTTCATATGCTTAAAAAAAATATGTTGTGAATGGATTAGGAAGTGTTACATAAAATATATGTTATTTAAAATGCAATATTTAATAAAAAAAAATATAGATTTGAAACAGAAAAATTTTAACGGCTCCACTGAGACGTACGAAAAGCTTTATTATTAAATTTAATAGTATAATAAATACGCATTCCTATAAAAAGTTTAACTATTGAAGAGTTCAAGCAACTAAAAACAGCACAATATCGACTATTGCTCTTTGCCATATTAAATTATGTAGGTATCTACTTAATTGAATCAAATATTCACAATACAAACATTTAAGCACGAGTAACTGCTTAAAAAACAATTCACACCGTTCGGTCGTCGCTGCGGCGCATTCGCGACTGGATGCCCACCGGGTGCCGCGCGAACTCGAGTGGCGTAGGTATGACACGCTTTCCGACCATTTGTATGAACATGGAATAATGTATAGATAATATTACCGTGCCCCTGGCGTACAAACCACTCTGCCATGGAGGAATTGAATTTTGCAATCAGATCAATAAAAAAACTCTGAGTTAAATCTAAAGAAAAGTTTCACCTTCGCATTTCGCATCCTTCGCTATCCGGGCGAATGCACTGACCATTATGCTACCACGGCCCTATTAGCCTTAAGCTGCAAGGCAGCGCCATCTTTTCGCATTGTAGGTAACCCACAATGTCAAATTGTCAGTTAAATGCTTAAAAAATAAATAAAATCATAACTATAATTGCTATTTCTTCTTTCAAATGTTTAATACTTGAAAAAGTATTCATTTGACATTGTGGGTTACCTACAATGCGAAAAGATAGCGCTGCCTTGCAGCTTAAGGCTAGGAAAATTTCGACGCGGCTAATAGGGCCGTGGTAGCATAATGGTCAGTGCATTCGCCCGGATAGCGAAGGATGCGGGTTCAAGTCCCGTCTGCTGCCTGGTCCGCGTGGATTTTTTTCTAGTAAACTTTTCTTTAGATTTAATCATCTAGCAGTTAAATGCTTAAAAAATAAATAAAATCATAACTCTGAGTTACCTCAAATTAAAAGTTCGCAGCTTCTGTGCCCTAGTTTTCACATTCAAAAGTTATTATTGTGCACTTCGATCATTCCATACGGTGACTTACTAAAAGTTACATGCTATTAGACAATTAACGTTTTCACATCCATTAATTTTATTAGACATTCCGATTGAATTTGCGTGTCGAAACGAAACCGACAAAAAGCTACGTGGAAATCGAGAGCGTGCGAAATGCATTAGCAAACGCGAATTGTGATAATTGTAGGGGTGCTCAAATTGTGCGTTTCTACTACGAGTATATTTCAGTTATAATTATATACACTTTGAATGTTATTAAACTAAAAAAATAAATTAGCTTAAGAATGGCTAGAAGAACTTCGACGCGGTCCGTGAGGGCCGCGGTAGCATAATTGGTCAGTGCATTCGCCCGGATTGCGAAGGGTGCGGGTTCGAGTCCCGTCTGCTGCCTGGTTCGCGTGGAATTTTTTCTAGTTATATTTTCTTTAGATAAAAAAATAAACGTTAAAATTAAGTCTAAAATGTCCCTCGGATGGGAATCGTACCACTGATCATGGATCAGTTCGTCATCATCATCATCGTCATCAGCCTAATTATGTCCCCACTGCTGGGGCACAGGCCTTCCCTATGGATGGAATAGGTAGATTGGGCCATGATCCACCACGCGGGTCGGGACTGCAGGGCGGCAGTGCGGATTGGCGGGTGATTACGACTTCAGATGCAGCCGGGACCAAGGGCTTAACTGGCGAAGCCAGTGCCCCAGCATGTTGCTGCTGGGGCACTGGCTTCGCCTGTGGATGGGATAGGCATAACAGTTTCTGACGCACCATGCGGGTTAAGCGCGGATTGGTTGATGGGCACAAACAAAAAACTACAGATGCAGTGTCTCACGTGCCTTGAAATTACCATAATTCACTCTAACAAATTGATATTCTGAAAATTTTATCATAAAGTTTCGTATATTATTAAAATATTTATTATTAAAAGATAAGATAAATTGGAATAAGACAGAACCCTTATGACGGAAATGGCACGAAGGCGTGATGAGAAGAACATTGTTTTTTTTTTTAATCTGATCTAATTAACCCCGTAAATTGAAGGATACATTATTTATTAAAATAATTAATTAAGTTTTAATTGTTGTTTAGTGTTTACGTTTTCATTTGAAATATTTCTTCTCCTACCATTTTTTGCATATTAATCTCAATCTTAATGTAAACAGGATGTAAACATATAATATAAATATATATTCTAATTTCTCAAGTTTATAGTTTCAAGGCAATAAATTAAACTCGGACGATAGGAGGCTATAAAAAGCCGCGCTAGAAAACCAGAAAATATCAACTGTTTTTAAATAGAATTGTAAATACATGGATAGATGATATCCAATTTGTAACAGCGGCGCCGGCGCCGGCGGCTTAGAATTTAACTTGTTAATTTTAATAATAATGTGAATAAATTTAAGAATAAAAATAACGAAGAATAAAAAATAAGGGAGACTTTTATAATTACCAAAAAATAGTCGTTCCTCGGCTTGAAACCGATCGCTGGCCGTCCGCGTAACATTAATGAAAATATTTGTTTCTTAGGTTTTCACGCACATCACTCATTAAATAAAACTAGTTTTAACGGGTTAACGCATAAAACTTTATTTATTGACGTTTCGCAGCCTTTTCAGGTATTTGCGAAACGTTAATAAATAAATCAAGTTTCGTGCATTAACCCGTTAAAACTAGTTTTATTTAATAATGAAAATAATAATAATCATGTATTTGCCAAAATATGGTTAAAATAGTTGTTAGGTTACCGGCATATTTTGTTGAATGTCTGCGTGCAAATATTTCAGGTTATAGAAAAAAAACATTAAAAAATCTAGGGATGTCAAAATAAATAGAATATTACTAGAAAAAATTCGAATTCCTTCTAGCGTTTCTAAAGCTGCGAGGCAGCGCCATTTCTTCGCATTGTAGGTAAAGGTAACCCTCAATGTCAAATGTATACCTTTACAAGTATTCAACTATTCATAATTAAAATAT